TTTTTCTTTAACCGTCATATAGGCTAATTTCTGTATTATCACGTCCTAGAAGATGCAATTCCTTGTAGCGATTACTGTTTATAATTATGAATTTTCAAATATTGTTTCAATGGACTTAAATGGAACAGAAAAAGTAAATTTATATGATGTGCCCGAAAAGATTTTAATTAAAAATAGATCCTGCAGATAACTAGGAGGTATAGAATTTATACCTTCTATGCAACCTGGTGGAATCGGTCATTATCGAGCCCACGCCTAAATAAATGGGCGCATTATTTGCTACGATGATAATATGCAAAAAAATATAACAGTAAAAAAGAATCACCAAAATTTTTACATGTACTTATATACGTATTTTGCAATTTATAATTTTAATAAATAGGCAAAATGTGTATGTATGTAGCCTTTAATTTTCCAATAAAATCATTATATGGTCACCCTACTGGTCTTTTTTTGTCAATATAATAAAAACGAAATCTCGCGAATGAAATGACGTATTCAAATAAATTATATGCCAAATTTTAGTCAAAATATTGTACAAAATTTCAACGTTATTTCTGTATACTTTATACCAAGAGATAGTTATCTACATGCGTTTTTAAGGATCACTCAGTTCAGCAAATTAAAAAAGGTTTGATTGGTCATAATTTTTTAACTATAAGCATTTGTGGTAGTGGTGTGTTATTAATTTGTACAGATATTTCCAAAAGTTACCTTCAAGGTGACAAAAAATATTACTCACTTCGTAAACATAACGTCGTATTTCTAGGATCACTCAATCTTAATGTGTCAGGATTGAGTGATCCAATGAAACTATCATAGATTCCTGGATTTACGTTGAAGTAACTTGATTTTTTGTAAATTAATGTGACAAATTCTGTAAAAAAATTTAATATCAAAATTTCGTTCACAGCGTTAAAGTTTTCTGAGATTCATCGTATACTATTTTGCCTAATGTCTGAATCGAGTGGTTCACATTTTGGGCATTATCTTCGATCGCCTGAGAGTGACAATTTTTTTGATTTTGGTTATGAGTTTTGCCAATTTTACACTAAATGTACGTTTTGGTTTTATTGAAAACTTAACAAGGATCACTCAAATCAGATGCACGTCCCAACCTATCATTTTTCCGGGATAAAATATATCCCATGTCTAAATCCCGGTCATAAACATATGCGTACCAAATTTCATCTAAATCCGTTTAGTAGCTTTTACGTGATTGTGTAAAAAACGTATAAACACGCAAACATACAAACTTTCACATTTATAATATCAGTAGTAGGTAGGAAAAGTAGGATTGGCTAAATAAAAGAAAAATTGTATGTAAAATCTTGGCATTTGCCATAATATCCATTTAAATCACAGTATTTTTTCGTGTGATGACAACAACAATGCATAACATTGGGATCCAGTTTCACATTCATGTTGTTTTGGAATGGATTTCTTTATTTAGGCCCCGACCCCGAGCTACTATTATGTGCAACTCCTCTCCCAAAAAGAAGACAGATTATTGAATAGATATTTCCTTAAAAACTTGTCAATGGTAAACTGAATTGTCCGCAATTACTCTCCAAAATAGGGTATTTGACAATATTAAAAATTAAGTACCAATTGTTAGCATCTGTGTTTAGAATGAATATCGGCAGGGGGAGGATTTTACTATTTTTACAATCAAAATATTTATAATTTTACCACGAAAAAGATAATAGTTTTCTTATCTATTGTCTCGTGATCCAAAACGCTTGGGATTGGCGGAGCCTAAAATGACGTCACACGCAAGTAAACTTCCGGTTAAAGTGACATTACATTGTATCGTTTGACGTTTTAAATAACAGTCGTGTGACATCACACACTACTAAGACGCCATATTGTTCAGAGAAACATTTCGCGGCAACTTGAAAATGGAGTTTTTGATTTGGTTATTTTTACTGAAATACACAACAGAATGATGAATATCCACTTTTTACGGACTCCATAAACATTAGTTAATAACGTGAGATCGTTTGCTAAAACTTGTCAAATACCCTATTAGATTTAGCTGTCCGAAAACTACAACGCGCACCCCGCTTCTCAGTATTTATACCAAATCAAACCAAAATAATTACTATTCTTAAAACAGTACCTTTGATATATTTACCAAATATTTGTCTGAATTTAAAAGAGAATTGTATAACAGTCTTGAGTAGTAAGTAATATTAATTAGGAACTTTATTATTATTAATAACTTTAGAATAATTTTCCCACTGGACGGCAGTCGGCCAGATTTCATAAGCACACTCGTTTATTTTTTAAATAATTATTATTGTGATATGAAATTATATAATTATTCTTTGACAAATGGCAAGTTTCTTTATCTATTTTTTGTTGACAAATCTTAAATTATATTCTATTCAATAGGTATCTAAAGCACAGTTAATTATTCTGTTTATCTTGTATTACATTATTATGTAATTTGTGGGTATCTTATTGCAATAAATTTGTATAATAAAATTACCACGATTTTACGAATATCATGCAAGACTGGACCGATTGATTGCCATAGTGATTGAGTTCACGTTATAAAGCTACCACAGTCTAAAAATATGTAAATATTACAGGGTGGCCAGCATCCTTACGATATTGTTAAATTTTTAAACATGATGTACAGTTAATTGGGGTAAATAAAAAACTTTTTATTTAACAAGGAATAAGCTTAGACTAGTTACGCCATGTTTTGTTCATGTTACTCAAATACCATTTGTCATTCAATAGACAGAGACAAAACATGGAGTAACTAATTCAAGCGTAGTCTTCGTTTATTAATAATGGGATTAATGTTTTTTGTATCCAAAATACCCCGCACCATTTTATTCTTTATTCGCATTTTTTCATTAAACTAGCAAAGGGCGCGTGAATGTGGCACCCGCTACCCTGAAACTCTTAAGGGATTGATATTGTTTCCAGCGATAAACACAAAAACGGCGAGCTCTTTTGTTCCAAAATAAACCTTATTGCTACGCCACAAAGAGCTGTATTGAGCACTGTTACAGCTGTACAATCACTACGCTTCGTTGCGTACTTCAAATACTGTTTAATTAATTTATGAGTGCTCACCGAATCGAAACGCTTTAGGACCCGAGCATTGCAAAATTTGCTATCTCAATTAATTTCGTATCTTTATCTGTTTACGAAAGCATCTACTTTTATAGACGTCGAGATATCATAGACAATAACTTATTTTTCTTATATTTTATTTTTTATCTTTTAAGCATTAAACTGCTAGATGTTAAAATCTTAAGAAAATTTTACTAGGCCCGTCTGCTGAATGGTCTGTGTGTTTTTTTTCTAGTAAAATTTTCTTTATATTTAAACATCTAAAGCAATTTAATGAATAAAAAATATAACTATTATTCTATTTCTTCTTCCAAATGTTTAATACTTGTAAAGGTAAAAAAAAAACATAACTTGTAAAGGTATTCATTTGACATTGTGGGTTACCTACAATACGAAGAGATGGCGCTACCTTGCAGCCTAAGAAACGCTAGAGAAAATTCGACACAGCCATCAGGGCCACGGTAGCATAAAGCTCAGTGCATTCTCCGGGATAGCGAAAGGTGCAGGTTCGTGAACCGTCTGCTGCCTAGTCCACGTGGATTTTTTCTAATAACATTTTCTTCACATTTAAACTTATTTTTGAATTTAATTTACCTATATTTTATAATATCGAACTGCAGCGGTTTTGTGTGTTCGTAATCCTACTAATATTATACATGTAAAAATTAGTATCTTTGTAACTCAATCGCGCTTAAACTGCTGAACGGAATTGAATCAAATTTTACACACAGACAGCTTATAACCTGGAATGAAACATAGTTTACTCTATTCTGATAAGTGTTAAGTTCCTGAGGGATTTTCAAAAAACTAAGTCTAGCCTTTAACGCAGAACTTTTAATATCATAATATTATATGCATATCAGCGGATGGTCAACAGCATTTCGCAGAACATCATTTGACATTCTATTATTTCATCATTCATCATTTATCAGACGATCAAAACACTAGCCATAATCATTTTGAGGCATAATATCTTTAATAACTAATAAGACGATTCTAACAGTGAACCTTCTGCAATATGATGGTTAACTGCATAACACTGCAGAAAGTTCACTGTGAATATTGTCTTTTAGCATACAAATATTGAACTTTTCCTTGCGTTATCAAGTGGCTGGCACTTCGCCGCGAAAGACCGCGGCACGCTCGCTTCGCTCGCTTTACTCGCGCGTATGCCTTAGGCATACCCAATCACTGAAGAATGGTGATCAAGTTGTGTTGGACTCTTCCCTGCGTACCTACTAGACAAGAATGAATCTCCTAGTCGGTAGGCAAGGGCGTAACGCGTGGATTTTTTCTAAAAAAAAAATGCTTTTAACTTTCGCAATGGTCAGTCATAGGATGGGAGCCCAAAAAGTTACTATCTCGAACTCCTCCATGCTTCGGAAGGCATGTTAAGCCGTTGTTCCCGGCTGCATCTGCAGTCGTTAGCAACCAGCAATCCACACTGGGCTCGCTTGGTGAGTAATGGCCAATCTCCCTTTTCCAACTATCCATTGGAAAAGCCTGCCAGAAGGGATAATAATAGGCTGGTAATGATATCGGCAACGTCACGACCGGCAGACGTGAATGAAGAGTATTAAATGAGAAGAGAAAGATATGTATGTAATATGTATGTGTGTGAATATATATCACAAACCATATTTAGACTAACTACCCAATATGTAGTTAATATTATATTAATTACCATAATAATTACCTGTCATTATGACTACCTAAATTATTGACGCACTTCAAAATAATGGTCAAATAAATAGTTGTTTACCGAGTGATTGTGGCTGTATTACAAAATACGCAACTATGACGCTTGTTCTGGGAATAATAATATGTTAAGTACCTATTATCATTTGGCACTTCATTAGTGTAGGTTAGGTAAACGTGGTCGTAGGTTGCAAAAAAAAATACGATTAAAACTAATAAAACTTTAATTTATGGATTATAGTAAATAATCAATTAGAATTTTAGATGATATTATCACAAGATTTTTGTAGATTTTTAAAAGGCCTACAACAACAAATTTGGGAAAGAAATAAATGCAGTTACCTTACACGAAACCCAAATATTTTTCACATCGAAACAAACCTTTAATCACCAATGAAACAGAAAAATCTTGTATAAATAATTTTGCATTGTGCATAATACAAGACTTCTTAACGAGCACGTAATACTAATGTAGGTACTTCATAGTCCTTTACAGATACTACTACCATTAATCTTAATCTGTTTTTATAAAACAATTCATGTACACAGCTTAAAGTTTCTTTATGGTTAAACCAAAACTTCATAAATATATTTAAACATTATTTAACAAACGTAAAATTTTAATAAATACCATTTAAACGTTTCGGTTAGAGAAGAAAAACAATAGGTGTTTCAAAGCTGGGGAATTAACAACTTTATTTACAGAATTTTTGTACAGAAGCATAGCTGGGACATTTAATGTTTTAAAAAAAAGTTAGGCTATAATGTTACAAAGGAATTGAGATTTTAAGGACGGATGGCTGTATCGCCTTCAAGCTGCTGCAGCGTTAGCACCGCCAGTCATGCTTAGGCGCAATTGCAAGCACAGCGCTTGACGCGCTTCTCGTTGTGCAACACGCTGTCAACGCTGCGCACGGAACGCGGTTGCATATCTGTAAAGAAAAAAATACAAAATAATGAACTATATTTTTCCGACAATATAATTAATTTTTATGTTATGATTGAAATTATGAAATATTTGCAGACATTAACTGGCCGACTTCTCATTCATCCTAGGGCCAGAGTGAGAGCGAAATAACATATTATACAGCAGCAGTAAACAGAAATAACATTCCCATGTATTTAAAAAAAGTTTTTATTGGCAAGGATAATAATAAATATTTTATCGCCATGTAACGTAAGCAGATAAGGAGCTCCAGCACGTGGACTCGTCTACAGATAGGCGACGCCGCGCTTACGACTCGCCGACCGCTGCTGGTTGACGCCTAAGCGGCACCAGTTGCATTCTGAACGTAAGGCCGCAGGGCCGCCGAGGGTCGCGGAGGAAGAGACGTCAGCTAGAGTACGGGTGAGGAAAGCTGCGGTATCAGTTAGAAGATCCCTTTCCGGGTTGATATGTGTACTATGTTCTTATTAAATATGACAAAAAATCTACATATTTTTTCTGCAAGGCTTAGATTATTACCCTGCCCCCATAATGTCAATTGTACTGCTACGCGTGAACATACCGAACTAAACCTAACTAATCCCGTGGAGCCCTGGAAACCTTACCCAGTCACTGACAGAAGCAAACAAAGCAAACGTGAGTGTCGTGGAACCGTGGAATACTCGGTTGGAACCTTGGAACGAAGTTAAAAATCCTAGATCAGTTCTGTGATAATAATAAACATAAGTAAGTATTTATAAATACACAACTACGTAACACACAATACCGAAACAACTGACGGTGGTGACGGAAAAATCTTACACTTTTTTTCGCCTAGCCCCCATCCGCTAAGTCCGTACCGATCGGAAAGTAAATTCGTTCCAAAAAGTGATAGATAGCACTGTGAACTTTTGTAAGTATAGGTTATTTCCCCAGATGGTCTTTCCAAATTTTATTAAGTCGAACACTATGTGGTATAATGTTGACTTAGTGTGATGACAAACACAATATTATTTAAATTCAAAATAAAATTCAGATATACTGGATTGGAAATCATTTACACACGTATTCACGTGTAATACAAAGAACAAAAACCATCATAATACAGCAGATAATATTTTTGTTATAGAGCATAAACCTGATACAATGAAAACACTCTATTACTTATCAGAATAGCAACTTATTAAATTTCTTATTTCTCAATTTACATGAAACTTTTTCGGAAGCAGTGAACAACATAATTAATATTGTATGTCAATATACAAATCATGACAAAATTTTGCGGACACCGGAGATGTCAATAACATTCCATTTACTAATTAATGAACTAAACAATATGATTATGCTTTATTAAGATTAATATTACAATTTCATCAAACGTCACGTTACGTTTATAATTATTTTAGTATCCATTCCCGCTTTCTACCGAAATTGGGAACAATTTAAAAAAGATATAAACAAAAATAATTATAAAAAACTAAATAGTTTTTATAAACATGTGTGTATCAACGAAACAAAATAATAAGTAGCAGTTCTGCGTTTGATGTTATTTGCTTCATTAATCGTGCCCTCTTAAATTAATTTCATTATAAGAGCGTAATAAATTAACGATCATAGAAAGTATTCATTCCAGTCTATCGACAAAACCGTAATTTATCAAGCTAAATTAATTCGACCTCTATAGTGTATCAGTCTTTTGTAAGTAATAGCGTTTAACAATATTTTATAATAAGGTTGACAAGGGACTAGATTGATGCTAACTTAAGGTGAGGTCAAACGAGCGTATTTTTCATGAGTTTTAAGTAATAATTAGTCGCGTAATTTATTTTAAAAGAAAATATTTATACAGTCAGTCATTTCCGAATTATTATTTTTACAAATTTCAGTCAATCGCATTGTAACTGAGTTCAAAAAGAAATGCATACTTACTACAGTTTGTATATCACTTTATTCTTTTTATCACGTTATAAGACATTCCTTTCATTTAAAATGCTATGTTAATTAGTGAAAAATATTCTTTATGATAAACCCTTTCGATGGTTATCATAAAATTTGTCGTATTTTTTTTCGAAAGTTCACGAGTTAGATTCCTAGTTGTAGCAGTCGATCTTTAAAAAATCTGTGAAAGCAGTTCTAGTTTTTATCAAAAATGAAATGATGTCTTCTTTCAGTAAAATATCCTATTTTTAATATTTAATATACTTTCCCTCCGTGTGAGGTAGCCGTGGTACGCCCTGTATAAGCGAGGTATGGAATGGAAAAAGAAAGCCTTCTTATTCCGGTTAAATCTTCGCGAAGGTTTAGCTACATACTAACATCGTGATAACACGAATGTTTGTGATATTAACATATATTATTATGTTTTATGAAGATTACCGATCCAATCAGTGAATTTCCACAAAAGAAACCCGTGGAAAGCATCCAGCAACCTTTTGGTTAGTTGATTTTATTGAATAGTCAGAAATGGTATCTCAGGTCTATGGAAAGTGAAGATCAATTATAATTGACTATACATATATACCCTTCTGGGAAACAGACCCGACGTTATGTTTATGTTTCAAATAGGTATTTCCGCTATTTATATTTAACTGTATCGACTAAAACGTCATCGCAAAATCCACATGAATGTACATATAAATGTTTCGTAGATTTTCCTCGTATTGATTAAATCCTGTTAAAAGGATTTAAAAATTGTTATTCATGTTAAATACAGAACTTTTAAATGTAAACCACTAACATCCGGTTTCTGAAACGCATGTCAAATATTGAATTAGTTGACAGACTGTCATAATTAACTATTTGTTGAGCAACTGTGGGTTTCTGAAAAGATATTTACCGAAAAATTAACGAATCTACTGTTAAGGCAGGATTTATTTATTAGTCTGGCCACCCTAGCTAAAATCAGTCACTTTCATTCGATCATTCATGTTTTGTTTCTGTCTAACGCATAGCTTTGTCTCTATCTTTTGACAACTTATAAGTGACTTTTATTTAAAAGTCTGAAAATTAAAAGCGATTGTGTGTACCGAAAACATTGAAATTTATTTTCATTTGTAAAGTTTTTACATAATATGTCACGAAAAAACTATACGGAGCGAGAAAAGAGGGAGCTTTTAACAATAGTGGATAAGTAAGTACCTAATAGGTACAAATCAGTTGTTCAAATCAAGCTTTCTAATCTATACAAAGAAACCTATCTGCTTTTGGCATTTAAAATTTGTAAATATATTGATAATATATATTTCAATGTAGGTACAAAGCAATAATAGAAAATAAGTCTACCAATGCAGTGACGGTGGAAAAAAAACGTGACTTGGAAAAAAATTGAAGAATTTAGCAATAAAAGTTAAAGAATTGGAATTTACTTCTAAAGCAAATAAAAAGTAAAATAATTATAGTGTAAATCTGATATGAACTACAATATAAAGATGTTTGTTTGTTTGTTTGAACGCGTTAACATCAGGAACTGCTGAACTGAATTGAAATATTCTTTTTATGTTGGGTTAGTCATAATTCTAGGAAGCCTTTAGTGTACAATAATTGTTCGTTTTAAGTTCCAGGTGTGTCAGTTTTCCCATTAGTTGATGGAAAACAGATTTTGAATAGCGATCCTTAAATTCTTCACCATTGTAATGAATTACAGGATTTATTCGTTTCCGGAACTGGTGAGTTGGTGCCAGATCTTCCTCGTCACTAGATAGGGATATATCGTCAACAGATAAATCTGACAACATTTTTTACTACCACTACAACAATCCTCTGACCAAAATATCAGTAAAATTTCTTTTGACAGTCTGTTAATTGATCAATTTTCACCAATTACTTATTAAAACACAACAAAACGTTAACATGCAGTTAACATACAAAAAAGCTTTCCGGAAACCAAAAACTACCGCAATCGGCCATTAATTCGAGATTTGACATTTGCAACAACAAATCATTGACAAACTGTCACTTGGCTCATTGACATCCGGTTTCTGAAACGCATGTAAAATATTGAATTAGTTGACAGACTGTCATAATTAACTATTTGTTGAGCAACTGTGGGTTTCTGAAAAGATACTTACCGAAAAATTAACGAATCTACTGTTAAGGCACGATTTATTTATTAGTCTGGCCACCCTAGCTAAAACCAGTCACTTTCATTCGATCATTTATGTTTTGTTTCTGTCTAACGCATAGCTTTGTCTCTATCTTTTGACAACTTATAAGTGACTTTTATTTATAAGTCAGAAAAATAGAAGCGATTGTGTGTACCGAAAACATTGAAATTTATTTTCATTTGTAAAGTTTTTACATAATATGTCACGAAAAAACTATACGGAGCGAGATAAGAGGGAGCTGTTAACAATATTGAATAAGTAAGTACCTAATAGGTACAAATCAGTTGTTCAAATCAAGCTTTCTAATCTATACAAAGAAACCGATCTGCTTTTGGCATTTAAAATTTGTAAATATATTGATAATATATATTTCAATGTAGGTACAAAGCAATAATAGAAAATAAGTCTACCAATGCAGTGACGGTGGAAAAAAAACGTGACTTGGAAAAAAACTGAAGAATTTAGAAATAAAAATTAAAGAATTGGAATTTACTTCTAAAGCCAATAAAAAGTAAAATAATTATAGTGTAAATCTGATATAAACTACAATATAAAGATGTTTGTTTGTTTGTTTGAACGCGTTAACATCAGGAACTGCTGAACAGAATTGAAATATTCTTTTTATGTTGGGTTAGCCATAATTCTAGGAAGGCTTTAGTGTACAATAATTGTTCGTTTTAAGTTCCAGGTGTGTCAGTTTTCCCATTAGTTGATGGAAAACAGATTTTGAAATCCTGTAGCGATCCTTAAATTCTTCATCATTGTAATGAATTACAGGATTTATTCGTTTCCGGAACTGGCGAGTTGGTGCCAGATCTTCCTCGTCACTAGATAGGGATATATCGTCAACAGATAAATCTGACAACATTTTTTACTACCACTATAACAATCCTCTTACCAAAATATGAGTAAAATTTCTTTTGACAGTCTGTTAATTGATCAATTTTCACCAATTACTTATTAAAATACAACAAAACGTTAACATGCAGTTAACATACAAAAAAGCTTTCCAGAAACCAAAAACTACGGCAATCGGCCATTAATTCGAGATTTGACATTTGCAACAACAAATCATTGACAAACTGTCACTTGGCTCATTGAGAAACCCAAAGTGCATTTAAATAGAGATTAACAACTTGTTACGTAATTTTTTCGATGACATGCGTTTCAGAAACCGGCTGTGAGAAACCCAAAGTGCATTTAAATAGAGATTAACAATTTGTTACGTAATTTTTTCGATGACATGCGTTTCAGAAACCGGGTGTAAGACGCGCTAGCAACCTTTTCTTATTTCACTTTCGAATATCATCATCTAAAATCGAACCAACTGCAAATTTAATTTGGAATTAATTGAAGTGTGGGTGATAATGCTACTGCTATTGCATTTGTTACTTCAAAACTTACATCAGGACTCCGCCTTGCCACCGTGGCCACAGCAATTCCGAAAGAGAAATATTGGTGAAAAACTACGATAAATCACAATGTGGCTTTTCATCCATAGGGATGTTTTGAGGCAGAAGGAGGGAGCCGGGCGCGCGGGGCACGGGCTCGGGTTCCTCCTGCATAGAGTCCGCCTGGTGGTGCTGCTCCTGTCTATGACGCTCTTCAGCCTGTGCCTGGGGAACTAATACAACTCGCAGTGTAGCCTCTCCATCCATAGACGTGTCTTGAGAAGGTTGCCGGGCACGGGCTCGGGCGCCTCCTGCAATGAGTAAGCCTGGTGCTGCTGCTCCTGTCAGTGACGCTCCTCAGGTTATTCCTGGTGTACTCCTATAACTCACAGTGTGGCCTCTCGTCCATAGGCATGTCTTGAGGCAGAAGCAGGGTGCGGGGCGCGCGGGGCACGGGCTCTGGCGCCTCCTGCATAGAGTCCGCCTGGTGCTGCTGTTCTTGTCTGTGACGCTCCTCAGCCTGTGCCTGGGCTTCAGCTTCCGCCTCAGCCTGAGCGGCAGCCGCGAGGGTGTTCACGATAGTCTTGACCTGCATTAGAGGATACTAGATTTCAATCCACTACGCTCGCTAACGCGCGCCGCTCTCATCTTCCAGGAAAAATGACGAACGGAATACTATAAGATAGTGAAGGCATTCAGCGTTTGGTGTTCCAAAGAAATAATATAAGTTTACACGTTTGTATCGATAAGTAATTTAATGATCTTTATTACCTACATGACACTACCTATAGACTACAAGTTAACGAAATGGATAATCTTCAAACCGTTCCATATTATCGGTGCTCGAACTTTGAATATGTTACACAAATGTTCAGATGCAGATCTCATAAAGAACATATTTGGACTATACAGCCATATCATTGTATCTGTTATATCTACCTCTTGCATGTCGTTGTCGATCTGCTGCTCGCGGCGCTGGCTCGCGGCGGCGTCCTGCGCGGTACGATGGATCACATGGATATCTTCGGGTGTCAGTTCCCAAGGCAAGTTCATCTGGATCTTCTGTACCTGCTGAATAGAGTACAAGAATTACATTAATTTACGTTATTTACGAGATTACTATCTTAAACCTTGTTTTTAGCGAGTCTCCGATATTTAAATACCATAATTAACTGTAATGTTAGTGATCATTAGAGTATAAAACAATATAACGTAAAAGAAAGCCTATAATGTTAAACCTATTGAACACTATAATGTAATCTGTCAAAAAATAAGGAACGGAAATTGAAAATTTTGATTGCATTTGGTTAAGTTATAATCTAAATCAAATTTGGATCAGATAGATAATATTATTTATTAAATAATACCTTTTACTGTTTCAAAGTCTAGGTAAGAATGGCGTGCGTTTATTACAATGGCTAAGGCAAAAACAACTTGAAAAGCGAAGTTACTATTTATTAATGGAAAGATAATAAAACAAGTTTGAAGAACAAATCAAGTAAAATTAGCCATCATTTTCGAATAGCACGCTTTTGTTGAATTTGTCTTAATTCAACGTGTTTAATTGGAAAAGTTTTCACGATTCAGGCAGGTAATGTAATATTACTTGTTTAGAGGTTCTACTTTTTCATGAACTAGCATTCAATTAAAAAAAATAAGTACTTGAAATCAATTTGAAATTATTTTTTTGATTTTGAAGATTTCAAATCAAGCCCACGCCTTTATTCAATGGGAATAAAGAAATCCAGAGAAACTAGCAATGGATTAATCAGTCCTGGAATTAGTACTTTTGTACTTGTTATTATGTCAGCAAATTATTTATTAAATTTTATTCGATCTTATGTTAAGTCTTCGACAATAATGGCACGGAATTTGAATTATTTCTATGCACGGAACCCATCGAGCAGGAGTCACATTCGTATTTTATCGGTTTTTTTTATTCACCGTTAGCTACAAATCTGCGACTCGAGTCGCTAGCCAGTGTGGTTTCTTTACTTCTTTTACCTAGATAATAGTTAGGTAGCATAATATCCGTAAATACTGATGTTTCATTCCGATTGCTGAGTAAAAATAAATTACTATAAAAACATACCTCAGGTTGTTCCATGTCTTGTGTAGGGGCAGGCTGAGGGACAAACTGATGCATAACCGATGATTGCTGAAAAAAATGTGTTTTTATATTTGAAAATCTATATGTACATGGTTTATGTGGATAATAAAAGCCCTGAAAACAAGGAAGCAAAGTGAGGGGTCACTAGTTAACCTTTGAGTATTGACGTGGTAAGGTTAGGTCATGAATGGTGATATGACGACCCACAGACGGCCTTTAATAGTAGGTATTATTTAATATCTGGAGGGCACGGCAGTGCCCCCGCCAAATCGAGCAAAAACAGCGACACGACCGTACCATCCTTTTCTCGAAACAGTTCAGGCCATTTTCAACCCCCTTTTAATTCGTTGACGATAAAACTAGAAGCCGGAATTTTCAGTAACCAAGTATGCATTGTATAAACTCGGTATATTTCAAATTTCATTGAATTTGAGCCAGTACTTCAAGAATTATAACTAGTCAAAGTTCCTTAATTTTGCCACTCACTGACTGACTGACCGATCATCAAAACTTTTCACATTTAGTGCTTCACATTTAGTGTTTAGTGTATAAATCAAGGTAAAACTAAAATATTTTACAATTTCGGCTCAGTTTTCTAGATATACTAACTGCATAAATAACTTTGTAATCTCATATAAATATATAGGATTACAAAGTTACAATAGCAGTTTATGAATCATGTGTGTGTTATATAATTATTGTACTTTATTATGATAGATAGGTGTAGATAAGTATCTAAATATAATAATGTAAAATTGGAATCCCATATATTATTTATATTTTAGAATAGAAAGCGAATCGAATGGTTTTAGAGTTCGAATCAATTTGAATATCTTTTATTTAGTAAGATAGAGCTATGTAGTTAGTTCACGAAATGACAGTTAGTTTTCGGGCATTTATATAGACGTTGCACATTGATTGGATAATTATAAGGTATTACTTTGTAATCGTACCTTAAATTGAGATGCCATCAAAAAAGGCGAACGAAGTTGCGGGCGACTGCTATAAATTACAGACCTACTTTAACACGTGTCATATTTTTTGTTTCATTGCAGTGCCAATAAGTACTATAGTCTACCTGGATATATATGGTAATAACAGTTAAAAAGAAGATAAAATATACATAAATGGCAATACACTTTCAACACACCGAAGAAAAGCAAATATTTCTGTTACTTTCATTGAATCATGAATGAACCTTATTTGTATAGGTATACCAATAAGTGATAATGTACATTTTGAATCCAGAGAGAAATGTTCCCGTTTAAATGAAAACCCAACTAAATCTCGGAGTTGACTAATGAAAAACTATTTTCCGTCGTATCAACTTGAGTTTTGTTTGAAACAGCTATCTATACTTAATATTATAAAGCTAAAGATTTTGTTTCTTTGTTTGGTTGAACGCGCTAATTTCGGGAACTTTTGGTCCCACTTGAAAACAATATTTTTGTATTTGATAGTGCTTGTATCGATAAAAGCTATTATAATGTAACGCTCGTAGCTAATAGGAGCGGAGCTACAATGAAAAATGTTGCAAAAACGTGAAAATAAAATCACTTGTGACCTTCCTATGCGTGCGCTGCGCAAACGGTAAAAGTTACACAAAAATCATGATGATTGATGGGAACAATTTGTCCCCGTTTATTTTTGTTATAAAAAAAACCGCGACAGCATATGTCTATCTTTTAAGGGTGACCCACTAAAACCTTTCTCGGAATCCCGGAAAATCTCAGGTTCGCAGTTAATGCAGAGGAAGTCGCAGGCGGCTGCTAGTCATATATAACTTTCCTCTGACCTTATGATTACTTTATAGACATTCATTACAAATTAATTCAATACCTATGACGAAGAAAAAGCCTTAATGCTAACGATTACTTTATTCGGTAAAATCATGGTTTCCAGTTCCAAAAATAACTACATAGGTCAATATTATAATGTAAACAAAACTCGCAATTTACATTTCATTCACCCTCAATTCCATTGAATGTTTGCCATACAATTTTAAAATAAAAATTACTTATATTTTTAGGAAAATATAATGTAAGGCTGCGTACGAATAGCGCGTTCCAGGGAACGCGTAGCCGACTATGCGTACTCTGGACGCGCTATACATACCCATAGCAACTCGTGGAGGGTGCGCATAGTTACAAGTAAATAATATGGCGTTGCAGGGTACGCGTAGTCGAATACGTGCACCTTGGATTGCGCTACCTGTACGCAGCTTACAATTATCGCGTTCTATCCATACTACTTGTGGCTACGCGTTCACTCTTGGAGAACGCGTGCAGCGCAAGTCTAGCGAGTCGCACCCTGGAGAGTCACCATCAGTCGGTTTTTGGCCGCGCGTCAAAGGAAACTCGCACGCCCGGGTACGTTGTATTTGGACGGCAAAATGAACGCATCAAGTTTCAATAGTGAATAATGACAGGTGGGGCAAGCGTAGCGCTATGGATCGCTTGTCGCGTTCAGGTTCGCGGCGGTCTGTACAGACAGGAGCTGAATGCGTATCCGATGAAAGCGTTGCCAGCGTGTCCCGTTAGCAAAGGAACGCGCTATCTGTACGCAACTTAATAAACATTCAAACATAGATACTGAAATTCCTAAATATTGTGTTACGTTGAAATGTAACTAGAGCAACCAAAGCTTCATTTTAAAATATTACGAACAAACAGTAATAACATAATGAGAGATTATCACACCAAATATAATGTGATTAAAAAAGAAATTTTAAAGCAAAATTAATTTAAAATCGACGTGCACCTCGCACGTCGATCAAATGTACCATTGTTCCTAGGCAACATTATTTGTACATTAAGTCAAGTTTCATTACGGGATTTTTGTTGTCTGCTTCGCCAATACCTACTATTACATTCATTAACATGAGCATAGGTAATCTAGAGTGAATAACCAAATAACGGACACTTTTTTGTAAGTGCTCTACAAAGTTTTTTGACTCTTTCATTAGTCGGAGATGATGACTCCACTATAAGTACCTACTACGTATAAACATTTAAGTACTTATAATAAATCTACATTTTATTAAATTCCTGCGAGACACCTAATTTTCGGTAAAAGTATAATGAAAATAATACAAAATCACTGCATCAATTAGAAAATATATGACAGCGAATACAATCCTCCACCGCTAGCTTCAGTCAATAGTTCAGACTTCAGACTTAGTTTGCAGCCAGACAGACGATTGTTAAGATGTTTTGCTGTTCGTGTAGAATCTTTATAATTTTTAACTGCAATACTTTTATATATGAGATATATGATATGAAACTCGTTTTTACACTGTAGAAAGTTTTTTTTCTTATTTTCAAGCACACCAATCATTTATTTAAACACTTTTTGTACGCGAATAAAGTTTACTCTAATTACTCTTGGCGTTGCGGATCCTACGGGCACCGTAGACACGAGACTGAGAAGTTAGTCGGTCTTGTGACTCCAGCATTGCCTACTCCGATCCCATCCCTACTCCACGAAACCCTGACTCACTCAACCATGTCACAAAACCTTACTACTCAAATGTGGTGTTTTTTATTTGTTAATGGGTAAAATCTTGATCCTCTATCCGGCCCAAGAGCAGAAATGGGATCTATACGGTGAAGTGAGCTTACCCAGAAGTGGAAAAAGAGTCGAATTATATGTCCTCGGAAATACAGACGCTGTACGCATTATAAAAGTATTTGAGAAACGTTTGGTGCAAATGGGAGGATCAGCAACCAAGAAAGGATGGTAGAAGGTTAGGTAAGGATATTTCATTGCAGTCTTCTTAAAGATACAAGTCCGAGATGTGCAGCAGACTGCAAACTGCAACCGCAAAATGTAAAATGCACTACGGTCGTGGCGCGTAGCAATCGCAGCACAGAATGCAGCGCCAGTGGTGTCACGAACCGCAATGTAGTGGCATGCCGACATGCTTCAACCACGATCAATGATATTTAAATCTTTAGACACGCCCGCAATGCTGCCTGAGCAACCGCTAGCCCGCAACACAGCTCGGACTTGTACCCTACTTGTACTGTTAAAGGTGGGTTACTTCCGTCCCTAGGTTCTATTAATTTACTTCCCTAGCGGTCCAGGTCCAGTTCAATCTTTCGCCGTACCCTATCAGCCTAGTTAACAACATACCTCGTTCTGTTGGTGTTGCTGAGGCGGTGGCGGTGGGGGCGCGAAGGGGCCCATGCCCTCTGGGGGTGGGGGCATATTATGGGGTGCGGGGATGGCGATCACGCGTTGTACGTGGATGCGCATCTCGCGGGGTGCTCCCATCTGCTCCTCGGATGATTCCCATGGCATCTGAGGACAAAAACCAAACACATAAAAGACAACCGTTACTGACTGATCTATCAACTCATAGCTCAAATAACTGAACGTTTTGCTTTGAAATTTGGTACACATGTACCTATTGGTTGTTATAGGCGTACGCTTATAAATTATTTTCCAAAAATCACATCTTCAGGGGGTGTTAGTGTGTGTTAGATAACGGGGGTTCAAAGTTTGTATGGGAAACTATTATTTCCGCGCAGAGGAAGGCGCAGGCACCCACTAGTTATTATAGAAGGCCTCATTCTTGGTCTTAAATTGGAATGCGTTGAACTGTTTAAAAGTATAGAGAGGTATTCACTGGGATAAAGACGACCTCGATACGTGATATAAAGGTCCCTGATGAAGCACAGGGCGACCCTATGGATGGAATAGGCAGGGCCTAAATCTATCATATCATATTCGACAAGAATGGCTTCATATAAGTGTTAGAATAAAATACAAAAGAGGTACGATAATAATAATTGCCTATTATGTAAAGGATATTTTTCTGCAATAACATATTGTATTTTTGCCTATAATAAAGAAATAAGTATATACAGCACCTATTTATAATCCATATTATAATTTCATTGATGTTTTTTTAAAGTCTTAGCAAATTACTAATTAGATATTAAATTGCAAGATTATGCCGCTGTCAACATTATTCAACTATATTAATAAATTGTCTTATTCTTCATTAATAACTTTCGACAATCGAACATAATCAGTGATACAGCAACGAAATCACGCCAAAACAAAATGATAATAACGCGCTGACACGTTGATACTTAATCGTGTGAATTGCGCAAACGCATGTGAAGAACGAAACAAAACAAAACACTGCTAAGATGAGCCACATCAGGAAGCAATGACCGCCGCATGAAGGTGCGTTCAGACTACGCTATACTTTATAGCTCGTAGCTCGATATCGCGCACCATACTTTTACATATAACACGTTTTTTTCATATCTGGAAAAGGCATGACGACTCCCTCGACCACCGGAAGAAGTGCGACCAGGGTATCTGAGACTCCGGTATCCCCACTTATTTTCTCTAGCCCAAGGGTTCGGTAAAATGAGCAGAGCCCTACCCATCAGAACCATACAAAACTCCTGCACCTAACAAACATCCCCAGGAACGATTTCCCCGACAGAATATAATATTTTGTAAACATTGTTGCATAATTTGACACTGTGAGGATTCTTTCGTCCGTTTTTCTCCACAGCCAAAAAAAAGTCCTTAATATTAGGGGAAAAAAGAGTAGTATTATGCTTCCAATTTGAATAAAGAATCTTAGAATATGTGCCAGGAGAGTATGTATATATAGCATAGCCATAGCACACTGTAACGAATGGCCTTATACTCGCCGTTGATATTGTACGGGCTTGCTATACGCGCCATACTAAACAGCGCAATAGTATAGCATTGTATGAACGCACCTTGAGAGTGGTAGACAAAGCCAGCGTCTATCGTCACGCAACGCAAGCGACAAGCATAAACGATGAGTAAAAACAAACTTCTCTGTTACGGACTGTGCATCCCAAAATGTTAACACACTCATCAAAATATTTTTCAAGGGTAATAATATTTTTAAGTTTTAATACACGCTCAAAAAACCATAAAGAAATGGATGTCAAAAAATCAGAAAGCACTTTGTTTCCCAGGGTTTTGACCAAAGTGTAGTTGACTTTTTTTTCAATGCAAAATTTCAATCAGATTTGATTTCAATAAATTAAAGCCGTACCAAAAATAGTTGTGATAACTTAATGTGTGATAACAGAATCTCATGATATTAAATCTATTAAATTTAGTGCGAATGAAATATTGCAAACAAATGTGAACAATAACATTCAATCATACAAATGGACCGTTACATGAACACAATGTTAATAAATATAATCAACCATGGTTTATATGTAACCGATTACACTTCGCTTAATTGAGCACTTATCTTCCATAATATTAGCTTGTGTAAGAGGCCTTTAAGTAAGCATATCATTTAAATACATATAAGTTATTGACTTTTCTAAATAATAAATTTGAAATAAATGACACTATATATTGCAGGTTTGTATCTACAGTCAACAATCAAATAAAAAATAACTCGGTATTCGATATTGAAAGATCCACTAATGAACACGTAACAAATATTGATGAATCATATAATTGAATTACGTCAATCCAAAAATTATTGTTCGAATTGCGTCTCACTAATTACATAGTCCCATTACGAACACGTTAAGATTACTACGTTATTTTTATATCGAAATTCCCCAGATTTGATATGGAATTAATATAGTAAAATAGAATCATTGCTATCAAACTTTATCACGTGCTTTTCTTATAAAAAATGCCACAAAAAAGATAACACGTGAAACAAAGGAGTACTCTATTAAGTATCGATTTGTTTTATACAGTATACATAATATTAATATTCTAATAACGACTGTACGATTAACGTGGAACGAAACAAAAACACGGAAGACGCAACGCTCCTCGCATTGTCCAACGAGTCCTTGGGCGTATGTCGTTTAGTACGCATTGTGAAGAAAATATCATGCCCGGCCCGACCACATGCCGCCCGGCGTGAGGCTTTGTGAACACGTAATTGCGACCATTTGATCCCAGGCCCAGAACCGGCTCCGACCGCTTTTTTCAAGAAGAGTAATTTAATTAATTGCGCGATTAGTTTTATCTCTGTCTGTACGCGAGGTTACCTTGTAACCACAATTATATTTCATTCACACGGTGGCACCGATTAATCACTCGACAGCAGATCAAAACGCGATCTTAAGTGACTCGCTGAGAACCTATAGAATGGATGTCTAAAACCTTTTTCATCTCTGAAGTATTTTACAAATGTTTGTCATCGGTCGTTCGTTCGCGTAATCTCGTCTTCGCTCCAAGCTAACGTTTCTGAAGTAATGATCCTTAGCTGTTGGCTATCCAGAGACCCATTTACAAATCAAATATTGCCTCGATGTTTAATTCTTCCCAATGAATAAATTCGGAAGTCGGTGGACGCCGGTGCCGAGGCACCTTGGCTGCTTCCAATCCACTCGTTACATATTCTTAATCTACCTTCCGTCTAGTTCCGTTTACATTGAACTTATTTCCGCGCTATTACTGCATCCGAAACTTGATTTCTCATTACCATTAAATATAAATGGAATACTTAATCAAAATTCAAAATTCATATCTGAATACGTACTGCGTTTATTATTCGATATCTGTTGAATAAAAGAACTCAACATTTAATCTCATCTGCATACTGCCCATGGAGATTTCGATAATATTAAAATAAATTTAAACGGACCCGTCCACTTTCCTCGCTATACAGTCTACGAGTTACTAGTATGTATACTATAAATAAAACGGCAGTAACTACTTATTCATTAGACCTCGTTTTCGAGCACCTGTAAACATTGCATCGACTAGCTAATGTGTTGTTTACATTTGTATCAGTCATTAAGGCTTAATCGACATTAATTTACTTACTTATAAGTAATCGCCGGGCGAGTGTGATCTCGGAAGGTCGGCTGCTCTGCCTGTACAGCTTCCTGTATTCAGGTTTTTCTATCGATATTTTGGACATGACCTCGATATCTTAGTTCCGGAACAATGAGTAAAACTACGGCTTTCTATTTCAAAACACTGGGCCAAGTACAAATCTTAAAGTAACTACGGCTATTAAAGATACATCACGGTATTAATCGTTAAAATGCCTGCCTGGACCCAGCGGTATTCGACGCATTTTCTCTTTATGTTGATATTAAATTGTGAGTAAAATTATGAAGTATTTTATAATGGGAATGTCTGTAAACGTTATGTTATAGTTAATCGTAAGGTGGAAAAGACATATTTTAGTTATACTTATTGGTGGAAATAAAATTTTACATATTCTATTTCTGTTTAAATATTGTATTTAAAAATGTACTGAACATGTGGTTTTAACTTATATTGAATTTACTTTAGGTTTGTAAATAATCCACAGTTGTTATTAATATCCTTGAAGAAGTCGTGTTCTATGTCTATAAATGCGCAATTTAAGGTGGTTATGCAGAGAGCACAAATTGGAGTCAAGCCTGCAGGTTTAAGTAATGAATTTGTCTGGACATATTTAAATGGAATTTAATAATACAACAGCTGCAACGGAGGCGAGTCATCTCTAAAGATTTATCCAAATTATTTATAAAACAATATATAAAACAATCGATTTGATAATACTTCCAACGGCGAAATATTTATCGTTATTGTGTAAAATTTTCTATTATCAAACATAGATTCCTGTTAGATAAATAAAAAATATAACTGTTGTAAAATCCAGCTACCTTTTACATCATTTGGCTTAATTGACGACGATATACATGGCAATATAAATTAGTTTGCCAAGATTACTTGATGAGATACGTTCTACACCCTCAAAAACCATTGGTGTTTCTTTTTGTTTGTTTTTACTTTATAATTTTACTATCAACATTTTATTTTTGAGAGAGTCAATAAAATAGGATAATAATGTTATATATTTTTTTATAAAGTTTAAACTTTGAAATTACAGCTGTACCTACAGGATATAAGATATATTAGATAGACTGCTTTCAAAGTCTTAGCAGTTAGATAAGCAAGTAGCACAAACGTTGTTTAAGCATAAAAAATATATTAAACAAAAGTGCGAAATACTAATTATGCCCATTTATGTAAGAGCATGTAAATCGATTTGAATGGCCACAACATTAGATACAAGGTGTGATAATGAGCGTCCGCCACCACACCAGCACAGGTGCGATGGTCACCTTGCAGGTTCTATAGTAACGTCGGGTAATGTCGGCTAATGTAAGTGGAACAAGGTTCATGAGCGTTCGTAACCACCGGTGCATCACATCATGTGAATAATTGCGCCAAGCAATCGCTGGATACATCCAAAACGCTGGCGACGGCGGCGGGCGGCGCGATCCACAAACTCCAGCATCTGCATATCCCGTGAACACTTC